TGCTCACAGTGCCAAAACCACTTCCAAGTGGTTTGCGGACCATGATATTACTGTGCTTGATTGGCCAGCCAACATGCCTGACCTGAGCCCCATATGGAATCTATGGGATATTTTCAAGAGAAAGACGAGAAACAGTCGATCCAACAATACAGACGGGCTGAAGGCTCAATAGTGCCTCAGCAGTGCCACAGGCTGATCGCTTCCATGCCACACCTCACTGATGCTGTCATTTGTGCTAAAGGAGCCCCGACCAAGTATAGAGTGCAGAGATGAACATACTTTAAAGAACTTGAACTTTTCTGTTTTGCAAATCCTTTTTTTGATTGATCTTAGGAAATATTCTATTTTTTTGAGATACTGGATTTTTGACTTTCATGAGCTGTAAGCTCTAATCACCCAAATTAAAAAAAAATTTAAAAAACTTTTGAAATGTTTTACTTTACATGTAATGAATGTAGAATATATGAAAGTTTCACTTTTTTAAATAAATTACACACACAAAAATGAACTTTTTCCACAATATTCAAATTTTTTTAGATGCACCTTTTATAAAGCCATTAGCCATTTATATAGAGGTTGTAAAAGCAAGTGAATGGTGAAACAATGAATTACAAATATGAATACGATAAAAGGACTGGAGTGGTGTACCTATTTCCACTCCAAGTGCTCCCATTCCACTGAGAAACACAGCGGACTGGGCCATCTGCTGCATAGCACTGTCCCCCAGCACATACCGCTGCCGACTGCACACACACAGTTAGGAGCAGGAACGGTGGATTACATCTGATTCTAAACTAATCAGATTCTGTACATGACAGAAAGGTAAGCCTCAAAGTATTTTAGCATCAGTATTTACAGTGTACCTGTAAAGAGAGTCATCTATATCCATGGAGTCAGCCATAGTGGGAGGGGGAGAGGGGGTGTTCAGGTGTTCCTCTGTAAGATTCTGTAGGAGAGATAAAGAGCATCTATTCACTGCTGATGACAGTAGACCAGAGAAACACAATCTGAGGCATTCAGTCCAGAAATCTGAGTTTACGGCTGCAAATTTCCTTAGTATGTCAGGCATGATACTTGTCAGACCCTTCTGACAAAATAATCTACAGTAGTCCTACATAAACCTGACCTGCTCGCAAGAAACACAGGACTGGCATCTCAGTTGTTTATCAAACCAATCTGTGTAAATCAGTTCGACTGATTCATTCAAAAGAACCGACTCAAAAGAAATATTCATTTTTAAAAAAATCTCTATCTCTAACATGAAAAAATATATTCACAATTGACTGCATTCATTTCAATTTTAAAATTCCCTTATATGTCAATGTGTTTCATGAGCATTGGAGCCCTGAATGACTTGACAGTGCCATATCGGCTTTATGCATTGTCATGTTCCACATGACATACACATATCTTTATCATATGATCCACATATTATGATTTCTAAAAAAGCAATCTGTCTGAGCACTGACACACGCAATCACACATCTAACATGTATGTAATAACCTCCATTTAAAGGCGACCGGATCTTACATTAAAACCTAAAATACAAAACGAATCACATCATCACAAAAACATCTCGTATTTACTCGAAGAACGTTGAACATGTCATAAAACCATTCATTTATCATATTGCTTACTCATATCTGTATATCATTAGCACTGAGCTGCTCACTAAATTAGCCTATCTGTTTAACTATAAACTGATCAACCATATCTGCAGGCTCGACTCTACTTAACGCTCATTTATGGCTGTGGTGGCTTGTTTTCAGTGAGATGAGATTTAATGTAAAGTCTGTAGTAAGGAAAGAGAGTGTGAATTAGCTACCTGTCAATGTGCGCGAGGAACGGGAACAGCACACTTTTTCTACTGCGCTTGAGCAGTGGGGTTTCGTGATGGAAAACTATCGACCGCCACCTCGTGGAATGAATGAGTTACTCGGCCATTAAAGGGGTCATATGATGCGATTTCAAGTTTTCCTTTCT